ACCATCTGCGAATTCTTCTAGGCGGTATGACTGTAGTGGCCAACGTTCTGATAACCTTTGGTATTGAAACATTGTTTATATGTGAACTTTTACAAAAATGTCCCAAAATCTGAAAATCGCCGTCTTGGAAGATAGTAAACTTTAAAGTTAGCCGTAGTGGCATATGCAAAAAGTATGTGTAAGAGTATTTAAGCCACGAAAACTATCTATAAAAGTGGCTTTACAAAATTTTTTTGTAAAAACGGCTTACAGGCATACGCCACTCTCGCACAGGTAATTCTGGATTGTGACATCACAGTTTCCTTGCGAGTAAACCGCTTTTTATGAATCACCACTACCATTCTCCAGCCATCCCAAAACTTTATCAACGAAAAATCAACGTTTTCAAACAAAATTTAGTTCTTCAAAAATTGCTGTATAAGATCAGAGCGAAAAAATTTGATTTCGATATTTTTCAAAACTTCTTGTTTTATGTATGGTTCGATGCAGTTTGACGAGGTGATTCCAAATATGCCATTTGTCTTGATTCGGAACATGCTTTTAGCTGAGAGAAATGGATCTTATGTTAAAAACAAGCGTCTGCGCATCATTGCGCTAAAACTATGGGTAGGAAAAGATTGGTAGAGCTTTGGCAGAAGAGTGGAAACTTACTGCACTAAAAGCACGTTTTCGGAAAGTTTTGTAGCATGAAAAACATCGATTTTCTCAGTTGTCTTAACCCTAGAAAGATACCTATGAATTTCCTGACAGGATCCAGACATATCCCATCATTTTACCAGGATTTCGCTTGGGTTTTCTAGGATCCTAGCAAAATCCTGTACAATTCTAATGAATCAACGGTAACGAAACGCCATAGAATTTGCCAGGGCTTTGTTAGAATCAGAATAGGATCCTAATAAGAAAATATAATTATTGAAAAAATTTTATAATCCTAAACGAATCATAACAAAATCTTAAATATTAGGCTCCTAGTAGGAAATATATAGGGAGTGTATAGGATTTTGTTGAAAAATGTAGATCACTAGAGGTAAAAAATGTTGTCTTCTCTATTTTGCACTATAATATTCAGCAGTGCTACTCTAACCAGTGTGATCTCCTTAACATGGTTAGTGACTTTTCTCCGTCTATTGTTTCTCTGAATGAACTGGGCACAAGCACCCCTGGAAATATTATCAATAAACTTCTGTTTTCTTACAACATTTTGGCATGAATGCACATGGTGTAGTCCTGGCTATTGACGAAAAATTGAGAGCGGTGCATTTGAGGTAACTGAGCTGAATGTAACAGCAGCATAATTAACTTTTCACAACAAAAAATACGTCATAGCCAGGGTTTATTCTCCTTCCACAGAACCGTTGCCAGTCGCTTGTATGTCATCACTATTACGAATGTCGAAGAGCGTCATTATCACCGGTGATATTAATACCGAACATCTGACCAGGGCTGTAAACAAACAAACAGAAAAGGAACTATATTACCTGAATGGCTTGAGAGCAATGGCAATCTCGAAATACACAACGCGGAAATGAAAACATGGTTAAGATCAGACACTACAATCGATCTAATTATATCGTCCGAAACGATCGCTTCAGTGCAATGCTGTACACTACCCTACACTGGAGTTATCGGTTAGCAATTTTTGTTGAATGCAATAACATCTCAATCCGTGAAAATAAGCAAGTGATTCCAAAAACATGTTGGGAGATATGTCGAAATTTATTGATCGTAGTGCATTCCCACGTTGAAAAAGAGCAAGAAAACAAGCAAGACATATTTCAGTGATTTGTCGATTTCTAAAAATTCTTAGATGCTCTCAAGCGTCGAATTATAGGAAGTGCATATGATTTTGTCTAGGAAAGTTCGAATAACTTGAATCTTTTTCAAATGCTCGAAAATGACTCGCACTTTACGCACAAAAGCTCTCTTTAGGCAAACAAACATTTAACTCTGAGATAACGGTTTTTAGATTTTAGTGGACTTTTCGTAATAACCCATATCTCAGCAGCGTTTCAGGATTTTGATCTACGATTTTTTTTTCGATTGAGTACTACATTCTTGCATTTGCCTCTAGAAGGCCTATTTTTGAAAACTGTGACAGAGCGGTTACTTTCGCAATTATAGAAGTGATTAAAGATTTTTTAATCAAGAATGCTTGTATGATGAGTCAGTTTATTTTTTAAGAGTCAAAAGACTCAAAACTTTACCACAGATACCTGAAACGATATCTCAAAAATGTAAATTTTTGTTTTTTTATTTTTTACTTTTCAAGTCATAATGTTTTCAACATCAAAAATCGTGATTTTTTATAAATTTTTTATTTGAGCTCAGCCGTACTTTCACTCCAAATTCGCCAACAAGGGATACTCTTAGGTGTGCATAACCATGCAATGGTTGAAATAACTTTGAAACTGGATAATATTTTACAACGAACATATGACTTAGTTAAACAGCGTAAATTGGACAATGTGTTCCAAATTAATTGCTCTATTTAAAACGAAATCTATCCAATTCATTACTGAAATATATAAATGTGTTCAATATATATTTTGTGAGAATTATGTTCAAGAACCGGGACAAGAACTAATAATGAACAAATCTGATGAGAATGCCCTGATATTTGGTGACATTTTATTGACCATTTACAACAAAATAAATGTAATCGTATCGGTAAAAGTCCAAATTTAGAATAATTTCAAACAATTGATTCTATTTTATTAGCTTTAATACTGTAAAAAATGTTCAATTTCCAAAACTATTAAATACTCTACTTCAAGTTAATACGATGTAGTACAAAAATTTGGTACCAAACCAAATAAATATCCGACTCTTTATGAACATATCTTGACTTGGCTTAATGATAACTGATTCTTTGAATAATATATAGAATAAGAATAGACGAGACTTTGAGGTTTCAATTAAATGTCGAGATATTTTATATAAACATTCCAATTTGTCAATGAACGAGATTGAATTAAGCATGGGAATATCAAGTGGCTCTAAACAAGCAATTCTAGCTCGAGATACAATAGTATGCATTGGTTCATCGGCATTTGGAGTACGTTAATATCTTTTGTTTAATCATATAAAATATTTTATTTATCTTTTCAGTACGCTGAGAATGCTCTTATCACTATGTGTTGATATTTTTATTGCAGTGTTAGGAATAATTTCGTTGCATTTTTCTTTTGTTTTTAGATTTAATAATGTAGAATTCAAGGTTTAGGATTTTTAACGCTGAAATTGGGGTCTAATGATTATGTACCATTAATAGATGTGTAGATTTAGTAAATCCAAAACGATGCTTACAACACACTGGTAAACTATTCTAATTAAAACTAGACGCTTTATCTTAAAAATCACTGCCAAATCGACACTACCAACATCATTTTATATGACAAATTTATAATATTTCTATAATCATATATTACTAAATCATAGAAAAGTATTTTAAAAAAATAAGGCTGCATATCCAAAGCATAATGTATTCCTAAAAAATCTGCGCTGTGCATGAATAATGTGCAAGTACAAGAAAACAGGTAAAGGGCATCAAACGAGTGAGAATGAGAGATGAAGTAAGTTAAATAAAATGCACATTGTGACCATATCTGTCAAATACATTGCCATAGCAACTAAAAACTATGATACTTTTCGTAGAGCACTAAAAAATTTGCAAATAATAATTACTGTTCATATTTATTGTTTTGTGTTCTTTCGTTTCAGCCACGGCGTTCGCCGGTGAAACTATTTAAATATTTATGGGCAACAAATCTGCGTTATCAAAATTTGTTGTTTGAATAACAAATAAAATTTGAAAAATTGATCTAAATACAAGTTTTAACTTTTAATGTGAAAAATATTGAAATCTCGTTGCAAAAATAAAAAAAATTTTCTGTAAAACTAATTGATATTAAATTTTTTTTCAAGAATATTGAGAACTAGTATTGATTAATACGGTAGAATATCAGAAAGGTTTGATTATTAGTATATTCCGTCTCGTTATTATGAAGATAATTATTACGAGTTCTTAAGCCAAGTTTGTTGAAAGCAATGAAATTTGATTGACCATTTTTAGATATAATAAAAAACGTTTTATTTTTAAACTTAATGTTTTATACTCACTTTAATAATTTATTTAGCAACTGCATTGAAAAACATCGGTAAACATGTTGATCAAACTCTTTATGGTTTAATTTAATGAAAACTGTTATTAAAAAAACAAAGTTAGGCTATGAAACAAACACATGTGATTTATCTACGTGCAAGCAGACGCTGGAACTAACATGGAGTATTCAGTGTCTAGACTCACACGACAACACAATCTCGATGTGAAATCTATATTGTATTAGTACAGTATTATTGTTTGAATTTTGTTAGAGTAAGAAAATAAATTATCGTATTCAAAAGAAAATAAAAACATTTTTATCACAAGGTAAAAAAGTAACATGAAAAATAAGAATAACAAATCATTATAAAAGAAAAAAATGCTTCATAACAAAATAAACACAATATTGATATCAGAGAAAAAAATGCTTTATAACAAAATAAACACAATATCGATACCGGGGGGGGGGGGGGGGGGGGAATTTTTTTAAAAAAAAAAAAAACAAAACCTCTATACCAAAAAAAAAATATTAAAATTTTTTTTTTTATTTTTTTAAAATATAAAAAAGTTTTTTAAAAAAAAAATTATAAATTTTNCCCCCCCCCCCCCCCCCCCCCCCCCCCCCCCCCCCCCCAAATGCTTTATAACAAAGTAAACACAATCTCGATATCCGAGAAAAAAATGATATCACTTTTGAATTTGAATTTTGAAATCTGAAGAAAGTAATTGATAAAAAAAAATTAAAGCTTATAGATAGCACAAACACACAATGCACGTACAAGTCTTTAAGATAAAAAAATTTTTTGTTTTTTATTGCAATGTATACAATTTCATCAAAAGAAAATTTTTTTTTCAATCTAAATGTAGAGAAGAAACAAGATACATAGCCTAATCTAACTCAACGTAACGTTTTTTCGACAGTTGTTGAGGATTTGGGCACAAGTTTTTCTGGTCTCACTTCAAAATTAACATCAATATTATTGTAAACATCAGTATCAAAAATGTTTGCATTATCTATTGGCGTTGGTTTCAACAATTCACTAAGAAATTTTTCGTTGCAACCATCACACATACGATATCGAGAACTAAGAAGAAGAGTATATGCTTGATCAGAACAGTATGACGATAGTCAATTTTTTTACCAGTCTTTGAGCTGTGTTTGATCAGGTGTTCTATTACTGTTGTTATCAGTATTTTTGGACATCTAGTTTCTCATTATTCATTTTCAAGTTCATATGGTCGTCTCTTTACTTTCCCTCAAAATTCTTTGTCAACTTCGAATCATTTTTCTCAAAAACAAAATTTCTTTTGGCTTGAACACTCTGGTAAAAAAGTAGCGTAATTGCTGATTTAATAGAAGTTATTGTGAAACATAAATATGTCTTCTTGTTGTCGTAACGATCTGTACATCATTTATTGCAAGTCCAAAGAGAACGCTTCTGAACCAAGCATTTTTAGCGATTTTAAAGAGAGTCGTACTAGTAGTAAGGGTAGATTATTACATCATCTTAGACATTTTCAGTATAAGTTTTAAAACAAAGTAAAGGGATATGACGAACTTGAGAAACAAGGTATCCAGTAATACTGACTAATAACGACAGTCATAGCATCTGGTTGGCTCACCCGTCCATCTGTACATTTTTGTTTTCTTAACTACTTACTTTGGTAAAAAATTGTTCGAGCAATAATAACAGTATATCTTGTAGCACATACGACAGTGATGTTTTCTGACAGTCCATCCAAATACTGTTCCACATTTAGAACAATCTAAAACTTCCTCATCTGGTATCCAAACTTTTGTTTGTTCTTCAACAAGTTTTATTTCGTAATCATGCTTTTCGTTCCATAATTCTGCCTTTTCTCTAAAATATAGAAACGAATTGTTGACTGTGTCAATGTTATTTGAGTAGCAGATCTTCCTCGTTAGTCAGTTATAAACGAACTTAATTGCTTTTACTAATCGACGTTTCATTTCGTTAAAATCTAATCTTGCTTGATTGAGATCATTTGTTTTTTCTTCCAGTTCGTGTAATAATTGTTGTTTAGATGTTTCATACACATTCTATAATAGACGTGGAAGAAATAACTTGAATATAGATCAAGTTTAATCATAGTACCTACTCGTTCATTAATGGTTGAACATCGTTCCTTTTCCATCTGATGTTCTTTCTAAAACAAAACAAAAACTACGGATGAATATCTCCATCTTATTTTAATGAAAACAAAAGCTTACTTCTGCAAGTTCGCGTGTTAATTTTTCTATTTTTTCATTTTTTTCGTTTAATATTTGAAAATATTGGTCTTCCTGAAATATCAGAAAAATAAATTAATGAGTGATAGATCTTTCAATAAGATACACACGATTGCTTTTAAACTAGATTTCTGATTATTTATTTTTAAATCATATTGATCTTGTAAATGTTTTAGCATTAAATCTTTTGATTCTAAATTTGATTGAAAACTTGATATTTCATGTTCATATTCTTTGATTTTCTATAGAAGATAATATCAACACATTTAATGAATAGAAACAAATAACAGATCCTATGTACTTTCTTACATCAACTGTAGATGATCGTTGAATTGTAATTGAACTCAATTGAAAATTAAGGGACGTTATTTCGTCGGATAAGGCAACTAAAATCACAATTGTTTACGTTGTATATATGGAAATATTTAAAACGATATAAAGTAAGATGATAAAGAATGTAAAGATATTTTATCAGGCTCTTTCTAGACTATATTCTCTTTAGTTTATATAAGTATAATAATCAATGAAGCCATAAAAATGAACCTGAATGAGATTTTAATTTTGTATATTTTTCATTAATAATGTGTAATTGGCTTTCATAATCATCAATTAATTCTTGTTTTTCACGTTTGTGTGCTTCTGCTTCAGCTTCAAATATATTTATATCTGTTTGTGTTTCAGCTTCAAATATATTTATATCTGTTTGTGTTATGTTGTCAATCACTGCTTTAGTTTCATTGTTATCATTGAGTTCATCAGATTGAGCGGAAACTTGTTGTTTTTGTTCGAGTTCAGTTTCTAACTGATGGCAACTAGGTGAGAAAGTTATTTTTTATTAGAGTTTCAGTTGATTATTTTTTGATTTACCGTTGCTTCCAATAGGGCAGAGAAGTTTCATCGATTTCTTCTGTGCATGAAACTGATTGCATAACATTTTCTTCATTCGATGACACATCTACAAATGGCTAAAAGACAGAGGTAAAAAGAGAAAAGTTGATTGGTATATTCGTGTAAGTTCAAAATAGAAACCTACTTGAAAACAGGATAGATCAGAATCACGTTTTGGGATTGAGGTTGAAAATTCATCTTCCTCAAGAAGTATCATGCTTCCAACAACATTGTCCTTAACAAACGAAACAATCAAATATCATTAACCATTTGTTAAAAATCTTATTTTTAAACCAGTCTGGTGACATACCATAGATATGGAACTTGAAATACTATTGTTTCGCTGTTCAGACGCATCCGAAAAACCAGAAATTGTTCTGGCACGTGTTCTTGATCTATAAATTTAACAAAGTACGAAAATGCTATAAGCGGATGGATAATTAGATTTAAAATATATAGATATGAGTTAAGTTGTTGAATAAATGTTAAACGTACTCTTGTGATGGCCATGCTACATCTAATTCATATATTGTTTGCCTATTTAACAAATTAAATTTAGTGTCATTCAACTGATAAATAGCTTGAATAATTCGATGTGTGTAAATGGGATTACTCCATAAACATTCTAATGTATAAAACTGACTAAATGAATAAAAAATTGATTGAATGTTAAAAAATATGAACAATGATTACCTCACAACTTTTGTTATCATAAAACTTTGTTGTATAGCATCACCTAAGAGATGATTTTGCAAACAAAATCGAATAAACAGGCGTCCTCTACCAATCGATGTTTTAACTTCTTGACAATTGAGAACGTACAACACACCATCGTATAAGCCTTTGCTATCTTTTAAGGCTAATGCAAAAAAATCCCAATATGTTTTGCTTTTGTTTCCCAATAAAGATTTTCTATCTGAAACAAATAAATTCAACAAACATACAACTCTATGCTAAACGAACAAATGATTGGAACTTACTTTTTAGGTCAATTAGTAATAGTTGTTCAAGCCTTGAAAAGAAGATTTGTAAATTAAGATTCGAATCATCGACAACATCACTATCTACGCCATTTTGATATTGATTATCGTTTGATTTCGCATATTGGTCATGAATTGCATTCGTTTTTTCTAAACAAACACAGTTGAAGAAGCAAATAGTTATTACAACAACAGCAGTTACCTTCTATAGTGTCTACGGCTTTCAAAACTACGGACAATTTTCCAAGATCTTGAGTAGACATCTTAAAAGAAACAACAATTGCAGGTGAGTATGGGTATCGATCCTCTTAAATTCTAACTCTTCTAAATTCTCTCCCTCTCTCTCTATTTCTCTTGTTTGATTTCTCACTTCTAGACAAGATCCTAGTTTATTTCGACTGAGAGGATGAAGTCAAGTTTTATCTGATAGAAAACATAAGACTGTTTTATAGGTCCAATTATGGTTCCTCAAAAATGTCTCTCTTCTGCGTAGAACCCTGTGCTAAGCCATCGATAATAGATCCAGACAAGCATATAGCTAAACTATAGACAAACAATGGGAATACCTGTACACAATAACTGACCACAAAGAGCATTTGAAATTTTTTTTATGCTGTTTTCAGAAACTCATACTATACTATCTCTGATCAGACATTTTTTGTGTCACTGCTTAATGTTGAGACACTGAGCGCGTCTCTGAGTAGCACTTGCCACTTATTTAATAGATACAAAGAGCGAAAAAACAAGAAAGCGTTATAAGGACCAAATAGTTCCAGTAAGCAGCACGATATTGGTTAGATCTACCATTATATGTTCCTTTGAAAATCAACGAAATTTCCAAGCCAATCAGATCCGTACAATCTTCATTGGGTTGAAATGAAGCGAATAAGCGTAGTCATCTTTCATAATGTGATAGATGAGAAAAAAACACAAGGCATGATAGGTTCAACGGTTAACATAAGTTACACTACAATCAATATAATTTTTATTGCTTTTTACATTGATTATAATGATTTGCTCGACAGAAATAAGTGAATCGCCAACACGTGGAAGAGAGGATGAGGAAGAAAGCTGCCAAGCAGAAGGAAAAAAAACATAATCAATACACGTGTGGTGAACAATTGTTTTCGTGAATAAAACAGTCTTAGTCTTATCATTAGTGAACAATTGTTAAGTTAAAAAAACACAAATATAAAAAAGTACTTAGCCTACTTCTGACATTTCGCTGTTTACAAGAGAATTCAAATTTAGATCACCACATAAAATGAGAAAAGAACAGACAGAAAAATATTTAGAAATAAAAGAAACAAGAGTACTACAAAAAAAGTCAACATTCACAAGCAGTGTTTTTAATACGAATTTTTTCAGAGTGGAACTTTCTACTTTGCTGTTAGCGTCAAAATGGTAACAGTTGAAATTTTTGTCTAATAAAAGAGATTTTTTTATCATCACAGGAGTTTCGTTTTACCACTTTCAGTTAAATGGATCGAAATTAACTTCTCTCCCTGATCAATTACAAATTTAATAACAAACATCTTACATGACTCATCTAAAACAAAGTGTAACTAAAACAATAGCTGTCAGTTGAACACTTCTGAATAAAAAGAAACGCTGCAAAACTTTTATACGTTTAGATGGAAGTCACAAATCCTTTTTGACTAATATCCTGTTGATGTTAATCTTCAGACACTAACCATGTCGTATTGTGATGAAAGTTAGAGGATTAAACAGAAATTATACTGGTTCTCTCGCTCACAACTGTTCAACAAACAGAGATCGATGGGTTAATTTTGTAAGGCAGAAAATATGAAAAAACGATAAAGTGAAAGTTTTCAAAAGCAAAGTGGAAAACAAGGTGAATATACTTTTCTCAATGTAGAAAATAATAGAACTTTATTATTCAAAGTGAAAACCCATTCTGCTCTCGCTTGTCCCACTAATCATCAAAAATACTGATTCACAGATTGAGAACGGTAACAGTTACAGATTCTACATCTAATAAAGAAGCTTCAATAGAATTGATAACAGTAAAAATAAAATTACGAGAAATGTACGTGACAAGGCCACCACCATGCTGATTTCGGTCACGGCGTACACAAGAAAAACCAGGGAGAGACATTTCAAACTCTGAAATCGATGGATCCAAATTTGTCTAAGAAAACATAGGCTGTCAAAATCAGTAAACTAAAAAAGTTTTGTCTTGAATAAGGCTAAAGTTTCTTACTAAACTTTGTATATTGTGAGAAAAGGTAGTTACTTCGTGTGAAGAAGATAACGGTACAGTAAAATGAGTCTGCTTGCACCAGGCAGGACTTTGTTGTTGATAATAATGAATGATTATTATAATGTTGTCGATAGTTAATATTTGACAATGGTTGTTGTTATTGATGATGTTCTTGACGTTTTTTATATGCAAATTCAAATTTGTTGTTTTGTTAAATGTTTACCAATAAATACACGTTTGATATTATCATTAGAAGAATTACGAAGAGACGATGATTTAGATAATATCGATGAACGTATTAATAAATCATTAAAACTAACATCAATAATACGCACACGATTGTCGGATAGAGTGGTACCGGATGTAAATCGCCATATAGAATCAATTGTTCCATCAGGTATATCAATATGAAGATTATCATGAATAAACATTGATATAACCTATTTATCACTATAGCCGGTTGTTTCTGTTTCGTTTTTAATAATGATATTTTACCATTATATCATCGAGTTTATGATTAATTAATTCGGCATTTTGTTCGAGTAAATTTAAACGTTCAGATAATTGTTGTAAACAACGACATGGTATACGATTCAATGATTTCTCATCTTTTGAACGCACAGGACAGTACCAATTCAAATACTGTTTATCTGTGGCAAGTTATTGATAAGCTTGATACGAAGAAATGGGCATATTAGTACAACCAATATAAAACCATTTATCATAATTATCATATTGCATTGCATTATCATTATTCTTTACCTTTTTTTTACATGAATACTTTTAATTTGATAATGCTGATGACGTTGCTTTTTTTTATGTTGATGACTGGTCGCTTTTTGAGGACATAACAACAATAAAAATATAATAATAATTTAAATGAAAAATACAACGAAGAAAATAATATGTATTACAGAATACAGAGAAGATTAATAAACAATAATCAATAGATATTAATCTAGAACAAGAAGGTGGGTTGAAAGTCTCTCGCCTCTCTCTCTTTAGAATAATTTATAATATAAGCATTTACTACTCCGAGTAACTAAACATTTATTCTCGTAGAAAATCAACTACTTTTTTTAATAAGAAGTTATAATTTTTTATTGTTCTAGATCAAATTTTTCTTTGGTTAAATCTAATAATATGGCCAGTTCAAAGTAAAGTGATCCCTTCATTTTTTGATATTGAAATCTCGATTTTTTCTCACTAACATAGAGATGCAGCTCGAAACTTTTTTATTGGGGACAATTGGAAAATGAATGGCAGCAAAAAAATAATAGACGATGTTAATGGTTTTTTAAATGCTGGTAATACGAAAGACGAATCACGTAAGAGATCTTAATACTATTTTCAAGAGTACAATTAGTGTATATATAAATAAAAAAAAGTCATTTTTTTTTCAACAAAAGGAAGTAACGTTTAAAATGTTAACAGAAGCCAGCCTCGTATACTTCCACGCGTTCGTTCGTTAAGTGGTTTATGGGAGAACAGCCAGACTTTAATTAGTTACGTGCCTATCATGCACAATGTTCTGAAATGAAAAGAGAGGAATCAATGCTGAGTATAATTGTAAAGTCATGTCTGATAAAAAATCATCGTGTCATACAACAAGCTTTTCTTATCTGTTAGACTTATGCATTTAGGGTAGAAATATTATAACATTTTTTCTTATTCTTTGCAGTTGATATTGTTTGTGCGCCACCAACTGTGTGGCTCCGTGAGTTTATTACATCAAAGCCGAAATGTGCTCGAAGCTGGACAAAATTGTAATAAAAAAGATAGCGGTGCTTTTAGCAGAGAAACCAGGTACGATGTATTTTATTTTCATCTAAAAGATAAGAATTCATTCTTCTCATTTTAGTCCACAAATGTTAGAAGAATTGAAATGTCAGTGGGTCATTTTAGGACATTCTGAACGTCGTACAATTTTCAAAGAACCTGATAATGTAAGTAGATGGATTCTAATAAACGATTTTCAATAATAATGTTTGTTTATAGGAGATTGCAGAAAAAACACAGTATATTTTGAAAAACACAAAACTTAATGTTATTTTTTTGTCAGTTGTATGACAATGATAATGAGTCAGTTATCAAATTTGTTTACATCTAATCGAAAAATAGAATAGTGACAAGTTTTAGAGCCAGTCATTCTTTATGAAAATGTTTTACCTATTATTTTTAAATTTTCACCATTTCTCATAGAATAAATATGTAGGTTATTTTTTTAAATTTATTTATTTTGAGTTTGATTCAACGTTGTTTCACTTTTAAATGTTTTTGATGTTGAAATTGCTCATTTTATTCTATGCAATAAGTAATTAATTCTCTATAATGTAGTTGGACAGTTTCATAAATAAAAAGTTTCGTTTGGGATAATTATTAGTGGATCTAGTATAAGGAATGACACCATGACTTGACTTCCTTTTCTAGTGATCAAGAATTATTAATCAAGAATAGACGATTTATTTCTTGAATCATTTGAAATAAATGATGGTGAGAATAATAACACTAATAATCAGCCATATATTCATTGTTGATTCTAAAATTTAGTTAAACCATTGAAGGGTGATCATTTGTCTCGAGGAATGGGTCGCATAGCTGGTAAAAATGGCCGAACAAAATTTTCAATTGAGAATGCTACATGATGTCGAATAGTTTTGGCTGATGCGTGCGACCTTTCTATCATTTTATTAACGTTAAAACATTAGTCATTGCTATATTCCATTTTTTTACTTAGCAAAATCCATATTATCGGCTCATATCAAAATATCTGAAATGCACGAACATCCACTAACATGTACTATTGTTGATACATTCCTGTTCAAATAAACATTCCTGTTCTTTCGACTATCAGCAACCACAATGTTGAATTATCCTGAAAAATAATTAATATGATGTAATACTTTTTGTAAGAGAATTTTAATCGCAGCTTTCTTCATGTTTTTCACTGCATTTTCTAACGGTGATTCGACGTGTGGCAAATATCTAACCTCAAAATAAGAGTGAGCTCAATGCTTTTTGACTGCTTTCCAGTAGTACTAATAGAGTAATGGTTGCTATATACGAAGAAAACATTAGAGCATGTGTATCCGTGGATATTATCGCTTGTATCATCTCGATACTAATCCCGTAACATAGCATCGCGCCCAATCTTCTGTGCATCAGATCGAATCGTGTTAATACTCTTTATAGGAAAACTAGAGCTTACGTTATATCTTTGTATATATATTTTACTATTGCACATTTTTAATCTAAGATTTTGTACGGTCCACTCGTTTAACTGAGCCTGAAACCAGGCATGGGCGAGTCCGAGTCCGCACTGGAAGAGGCAATCTACCCCTCAAACATTAAATCTTACATAAGTTTCTGGGCTAAAACAAACACAGACAGTAGCGACTCATCACCTGATAAGATAGATAAGATAAAATTTATTTTTACTCAAGAGTAGGATATCACAAAAAGAACAAAAGGCTTGTGGCATCCGTGAATACCCTGTGATAACTTCTGTGATAACTCTGAATTTTCCATAGGGAATGATCGTAACGATCTACGTACTTTTAAAATGATACAACACCATTAAACAAAATCTCGCTTTCAGTCTTACTCAAACTTTACACGAATGTTCTTCTATGTGTACTGCATCTGTAAAATTTGCATAAGAAAGCACAAACGTTTCTAGGCAGTACAGTGCGTTTCTCAAAATTCGCTAGTTTTTCACAAAGTCAAATTTTCTCATTTCGGAAGCACTTTAACTCAAACTAAGATGGTATCAGTGCAAAAATCTGCATTGAGCCTTGTGTAAACAGCACATTTCTAAACAAAAAGGTTTGGTATCGAAAAAATTTCACCTTAGGTCCAAAAGGAAAAAACACTTTTTCCTTAGAATAAGAATTCTGGGTCGGCCATTCGATCGAGCGTGTTTGAAAACGTAGAAAAAGTTCATTGCTCAGGTTGTCGAATATACTTCAGTCCCCTGCTATGCAAAAATTGCCCACTCTGTTAAGGTAATCTTGAAATCGGATGGAACGTAATCCGGTGGTAGTGTTTGTTTTTGGAAAACAATTCAACAACCTGGGAAGAATCGAGTTTTACGAAAACGAGGATTTCTAAGTTGTTTTCATCTAACACTAAAAAGTTCGCATATTCACTCAAAAATATCAGAACGAGTTGAAAACTTCAGAATGTAAAATAGCTATGCTATTCTATATTCTACTGATAGTAAATGTACAAAACCCTATGGTTTTTCAAAACGACTTTTAAAAAATATTTGGACAAAGCACGGATTTTCTCTAGCAACATAACCAGAAAAAAGTCTAGATTGGGCTCAGCTCAGGACTTTTTAAAAAAGCGAGTGAAAAATAATGCAAATCGTTTTTTCGTCCAGCAACATAATTCTACTGTTTTTATGATTAATAGTAAGTAACACAACGACAGAATAATCTGATTTTTTGTTTTACGAGTAACAAATACGTTATGTATATAATTTTTACCCAAAAGTAAAGATTTCCAAAGTAATTTTTCAAGTTGAAGACTACCACCAAAATACAATTTTAGCGGTGAATTTTGACAAAATACTAAAATACTGCTGTTTTTTGTCAGTTTTCCTCATTTTTCGAAAATTTCGCCAATATCAAGCTTCCTGATCTTTTCGTCAATACAGTTTTGTACACAGCGTTTTCGATAGAAGTTTTGGTGGGGAGGGGTCCCTAGGGAAAAACTTACTCGAATCTTAGTAAGATTTTGTTTATATTTGTCTAAGATTGGATAAGAATTTATTAGGATCTTAATAGTAAGAACGACGACGTTTTTTAAATAATATTCATTAGAGATATGCTGAAAATTTTTCAATTTTTAATCCGCATTATCCGAAGCAGCAGTTGAATAGTGTTGAAAAATGAAGAGAAATTTCATATTTTTGGGTGTACAACTATGGACCTTGACCCGCATGTAAACTCTCTAAAAAGTTGTTGAACACTTTAGAGAGAGCAAGTACTAGCAGAATCTGAAGGGAACATAACCATAAAATCACTCGTATTTGAGAGTCTGCTGAATAACTAAAGTTCTTTCTTGAGAAAATCACTTACTCAGATGCATAAAAGGCAGTTTCTCAACTTAAATTTCTTAAAAAATTTCTGAGTAAGTCAAAATTTGTCGAGTAGCTTTATAAAGAGGGGGTGAATTTCCATCCCCTAATCAATAACACTGTTTGTATAGCTTTTCGAGGACTATCGACTTCATCAACAATTATTTGCAATAGAAGCTTTGTTAATGATGAAAAAGTGAAAATAAGAACGTGACAAAGCATCTCTAGTAGTATTTGGCCTATATCTCGTCAAGAAAGTATTTTTATTCAGAGTATTTTATATCAATATTCTAGATCTCGTCAAGAGCTATCGGTTGCACTATATGAGCTAAGCAGGAGTGGAAAATGACTGTGCTATTGAATATTTCGAGGTATTTTAATTTATATGGACTGAAGATTTACATAGGTTTTTGAAAGTTTCCTCACTAACGAAAGGACCACTGTGAAGTCGAAACCCACCGACTGTGATAGGTGAAACTGTCTTTAAACTTCAAATTTTATTTTCTTTCCTTCGAAGATAGGTACAAAATTTTTTGCAAAAAGCCCTAGTAAAATTTCTTGTGGCCAAGATCTTAACTTCTGGAATATTTCAGTAAGATCTTGACTCAAGCTCTTGGGAAGAAAGCGTAAGATATACATGAAATTCCAAGAACCTAAGACCTTGAAATTTCTTTATGTTCTTGTACCAAGATCTTAATAATTCTTTAATCACCGTTTTGTTTTATGCTTTTTCTTAGATATAACTGTGAAAATTTTCATACTTAGAATAGCTGTGAAATTTTCGTTTTCGTGAACGTATTTCTTCAAGGATGAACCTATGACCACATATGATTGTATGTCTAATGGTGATGACATATATAAAAAAATTTTGATCATAATACTTTGAAACATTTTGATTTCGATTGACTAAAGATCTTGGATACAACTCGGAGGACTTAGCCGTTCAATTTTTCATCCGAACAGCTGTGCAATGTTGATTTTAATCAGTGAGTAAGGAAGTGTACCGTTAAGGAGTATTATAGAATGGATGAGTGAATAAGAATAAGGAAACGTATGATAAATGTAAAAATAATGAACGACAACCACTTGATAATGAAGACAAGATCTATTTATTATTAACAACAACATCATCCGTAAATTCTTCAACATACTGTTGAGAAAGATTTTTCAATTCATACAGTCTATATATCATGTTTATACCAAAAAAAGAAATAAATTGAAGTAAGAAACATTTAATAAGCGATTAGGTTAAATCTTGCATAGTATATTCACACGTATTTACTGTTTTTGACAGGTGATGCCGACAGTCGAAAGAAACAAGTCATGATTTCTCATGCGATACTTAATTAATAAAGATTTTTGCGAATTTCTATAACATTTCATAAGACTTTTCTTGTGCAATCTGAACTAGTTAACTCTTAAATCTATAAAATATGTTTTAGATTATTTCGTCGTTGTTGATTACACATTGGAATTGTCTAATTATCGCTAAGATTTATTTTTATTGCGGAGCATTTGTAAGAAGACTATCTAAGTGTGAAAAGAGAAAAAATTAGAAAAGTTGTTGTGTTTAAGAAAAATACTGATGATTGTGTTTTTTTTATCATTAATTAACACACACGCTCTCTTGGTTGTGTCATATTTCAATATTTTTCACTAAAAAATAACTGTTATAGTGTTATAAACTTGTTTGTGAAAAGTGTCTAGTGTATATATGTTTGTCTATCTATATAAACAACAAATAAGGAAGTTAAAGAATAATTCCGCTACAGATATTTGAATCCATTTAGTTAAATTGAATTGTATCAATGGGTGATTAATTCACATATTCTATATAGTCATAAGAAATACGTTTATTTGTTTTACACGGACACTATAGAGTCAATTCGCTAGAGAATACAAGTCTATTTTCGGATGACGTCTTGATTTATTAAAAAATTACTAGTACAGAAAACTGAAAAAACGACTACTCGAGTAGATGAGTCATCGCTAGATCCAACTATAACTATCCAGCTTTATATAATTACTTTTACGCTCATTCTTAACCTAATAAAGTCTCGCGTGCCCTTCAATATACTAATACATACAAGGAGCATCATATTTTTGATAATTAAATCGTTTATTTTTCTACCATTCTGCTCAACATATTTGAAAATGACGTTTATATCTCAACGTTTTTTCGCCTAAAGGCGGTTTCTTTTTATGACTTTTTACATTGTAATAAAGACTCGTAATAATGTTGAGAATAAATATATCATAATCATATGAACAATTTAAAAATTCTCATAAGTTATAATTTCTTATGCATGACAAAATGGTATAATATAATTGCTTTTCGTGTGACGCAGGTGAAAAAAAAAATGCTTAAATTTTTAGACCAGATAATAATTTAGTACTTTTCTTATTTTAGTCATTTCAAATTATAAATAAGATCAAGAAGTGATGATAAGTCGATAATAGGCAGCGGTAAAAGGAAAGAAAACTAAAAATATATAATTGAATATGGAAGTAAAAATTAATAATAATCACGAAAAATGCTTCATTTTCTTTGATTTTTTTTCTAAAGTATTTCATTCATCTCATTTTACTTAGGACTTTTTTTATTCAGCATTAGCTATATGTATCACAAATGGATAGATTTAAAAGCTTTTGCTCACTTAAATTAAAAATAATTAGTTGTTCTCAAAAAGACTATATTTTTAATTTCAAAAATTATCTTTTCATTATGACTATTCTATATTTGTTATGGTTCAGATTTCATACAGTCTGTTGTAAATAAGAGAAGTAGCTTGTTCACCATGTGAAAAAATGATTAATAAAATGTTTTTATCATTTTTTAAATAAATTCATAGTTGTCTTTATCGGCAGCGGTAAATAATAGTGTAAGATAGGCAGAATGAGAGATATATTTAAAAAATACATCTCGTTTTATAATTGTCTTGTGTTTAATAAAATGATAGAAGCAAAAATCAAACTAATTTTTTGTTTAAATTAGAGAAAGATAACGTTTACTACAAGTTAAGAGACACAATAACATATGACTGACTGTACGTTGAGTTTTTTCTTAATTCCTCTTTCTTTACCTGTGAGATCCGTTCACTCTATGTGTCGAAAAAAATCATCATGATGCCAATTTCTCATGTTTACTTTGCGTAATTTTATACGATCATCTACATGGTAAAAGTGAACACAATTTATCTACTTGGGAGAAAAAGCATTCTAGCACACCAACTGTGAAGTTACGTTCGATCTATTGAGATGGAGATACTGACAATTCTCATACTATATATTTAGTATAATTAAAAATTTATTTAAGTGAATCGCAAGATATTATCTTTTTAACCAATTTCATACTATCGAAATGAATGGTGTGTTTTTCCACTATGAAAAAACTATTCCCACTATGAAATTGAAATAAAGCATTCAATTATATATATTGGATTGACAAAATCGACTATTGCAGAACAAATTGAAGTTAGTTTCGTCGTTGAGATGTTACGTGAACGTGTATATAGTTTTCAATATAGACAATTAAAATGCATAAATAATTTGTTAAAGAATTTCAACTGATTCTCGAATGACTTTTTGGAAAAATTTCATTATTATGACAGATCAACGATAAAACTAAACTAAAAATATAAAATAGAACTTATACATTACAGTATCCGTCTATCCTCCTGATCACAGTTAACATTGTTTTATAACATGTAGTCAGACTCTTTAGTATTTGTTCTTTGTCAGAATACTAGATCATAGCTAAAGGCTGTTGGGTTGAATGAACATAGAAGAAGAATTGATTTGCGCAGTAGATATATTATTAGTGTTGTTGTTGTTCTTTTGAAATTTGACCTTTAATCCATTTAACTTAGTTAATCTAAACATATCTCGAGACTGTGTTCAATGAAGCTATCAAATAAATTTTGTTTATCAAAAAAACACATTTGCGTAATTCTAGATGTTAAAAAAGCATTTGAATACTGTTTTGCCACTTGCTTATACTCACCAGTATAAAGAAATTGTAATCTATCTGCGTGTCGATCTCTCTAACAATCTTAATATTGTACAAAGTTAAGTTGTGCAGAGCCATTGAGATAGAACAGGATCAAAGTGGAAACATAATTTTCTTCTCAATGCTGAATGTTCAGGCCCGTCGCGACTAGAAGACCGTATGGTCCTCTTGCTGTTATAGAAATGTTCTTTTTTGTCCGAGCACGCTATAATTAAAATGCTTTTTGAATTTATTTTGTCAGGCTATCTTTGAAAAATATTTTTTACAGATACAGTTTCCCTACTTTTCGGATCTCACGACGGCTCTGTCAATGTTGACCGTGTATGCAATTATCAACATGTTTCAAATACTCCTGTGACACAGATAACGAAGCCCAGTACTTCCACACAGTAGCTTTCATTATAATTAAAATTGATCAGACATTAGAATTAATCATGACTAAAGGTTCTACAACACGAATGTGACTTTTTTTAACCATAATTAATAATTGTGAATAAAGGTTAGCATGCTGACGACTAATCATGTTTCGGACAGCTTATATATATATTTATCACTTAAAGACTGAGAAATGGATTATTAATGATTTAATGTGTAAAAAGATGCGAAACCGCTCATTCAATAAAAAAATGAAATTGTTGGCCGAAGAGCAGAGAAGTTTCAAAAGTGCTACAAATGATTTAGTCTGGCAACGCTTCAGATAGCATAAACAGAGTAGTACCGACAACTCGGGGATTTGAAACTAACATGCACTTTAGAAGGTAGACTGTTCTGGTACCTGTCAGAAAACAATAGTCTCCGTTGTTGTTTTGTGAACAAACAGAAGAGAAAAGAACATATACTTGACATATATTGACAGTAACAATTTAATTATGCTTAACTAATCAGGATTAAATTAATTGGGGTAACGTTGCCGCATGAATATAATAAATGTCAGCAGTTCTAACTATTTTACATTATTCTATGCTATCTAAACCACTCTTCCATCTAATTGTACGCTGCATATTCATTCGAACAATTCATTAATTAGCGTACGCTCGTGATTTCCTTTGATCTTTTGCCAATATTTGTTTGACTTGTCGCTGATTGCTTCTGGATGTACCAAACCATCGTCATTGATACAATTCATCACTTTTCTTACGTAAAATTTAAATTGTCGTAATTATATATATCTATACGAACACATATAGAAGAACAAGAAGACGTTGTAACCTCTGTTTTTTCTTTTCTCTGTGCGCGATTTATTTTTCGTTCGTTTGACCAGAAAAGTCAAAATACACAGACACATGTCTTTTCGTACAACTGAACGAAACTGTCTAGAAATATGATTGGTTGTAAAAATATTTGTGTAGACGTTGTGTTGTTGTTGAAATATATATAAAGAAGAGACACTTGTGAAAAGAAAAATATATCTGATAGTCAATTCGAACGAAAACTCTACTTAATCGTATATATACGTGCGCGTGTTCTATTTCCGAAAACGAGAATTTCTGGTTTTGTCTTACGTATAGACTATATTACATAATCTTTGTATTTTACGTTATAACATCTTTTCTTCAAATACTTCGACTATTATTTTTCTATTCAATACGTTTTCAACATCATCTTTTATCTGGAAATAATGTCAACGATAAGTTGTAATAGTTTTGAAGATTGCATACTTGACATGATACATAACGATAAAAATATGGACAATGAATGTTTTTATATACCATCCCAAGATATTTCCTCTTGTATTTTTGGAACAATGTCAAACAATTTTGGACTAAATGATCTTAGTCGTACAACACACGTAAGTTAGTTTTCATTTTCATTCATCAACAAGTGAAAAGATGTCTTTTATTGTTCTCATAGATATTATACACGTAATATTATAGTCATTAAAACGGAAGAGTTCATGTCGTGAAATTTATTCTTAGAGAGAAGTAGAACTGGAGTTCAGGAAAGAAATTTCTGGTACATTCACTTTGGGTAGAATTTTGGCTTATTCCCATCATGTTGAAATACGACCGACGCCGAAACACTGCAATATAAACTTGATGAATTCGTTCTCTTTGCTTTAAGCTTAGTTGATCTGTTTCTTAATATTAAGAGACTTATACAGCGATTCACCGAAGAATCAACTTCGCTGAGAAGAGCTTGTTCATTTAATACATTGGTGGAGCTTACAGTTGAATAATGACATTAGCAATATAAAGTTTCAAAAATGAGTTGTAGTTTAATTCACATTACCAAGTTTCTCCAATATATGATTTAAGGTCTTGTTCCTCAGGTAATCATGCTAATAATCGAACGTTTCTCGAGTGCACTGTTATGAATGATATAAGTAATAATGAATACCATAAAAAAGAGACTTCTGAAAAACGTTTTCTGTCTTATTTTAAACATGAATTTGTGATTTTTTCAGGAGATGAATATTATTGCTAATAAAGCTTACTCAAAAGCAGTTGGTGGACCAGTGAATGATTTATTCAATGAAGGTCAAAAACTAACATCATTAGATTTGAATAATAGTGGTAACAATAAATCGTCGAGTGTTGCTCGCTATAAAACAGAATTATGTCGATCATTTCAAGAAACAGGATTATGTAAATATGATACTAAATGTCAATTTGCTCACGGTCATGATGAAATTCGATCATTACATCGTCATCCAAAATACAAAACAATATTGTGTCGTACTTATCATTGTTCTGGCTATTGTCCATGGACCGCGATGCCATTTTGTTCATAATGAGATGGATCCGATTATGTTACGTGGTTCTGATTCTCCTAAACTAACAACATCATCAAATAATGGTTTAACTCATGGTCTATTTAGTAGTTCAATGTCATCTCGTTCAATTTCACCATCGGATAGTCCAACAACATCAGGTAGTTCCGAATTTGGTTCAGATGATGATAGTAGCGTCACAGGGTATCATCAAAATTATCAGTTACAACAACCATCACAATATACCAGAATTCATCTTAACTCATCGTCAATTGATGCTTATACATATTATCGTGTTTCTCTAAATCAACAAGCTAGTCATATTTATGAATGAAAAAAAAGAACTCATTCTGACATATTATTATTATTATATTATTGTGTTTGATTTTATTTTTATTCTGAAAGAAAAGATCAACAGCCTCTATTAATTTATTTCTCTTTTCTGTTATTCCCTCTTCTCGTTTTGTGAGACAAGTAAAATCCATGGGATTTTTATGTGCTCTTCTTTATTTAATTTATAGTTAGAATGATCTCCCTATATTTGTGTTTTTATTTTTTTGTATGTGAGTGTGTGTGATCTATATATATTTTTGTATACTGCAGATTTTTCATGCAATACGAAAATATCGAGAAAAATGGGTAGTTCATATAGCTTCCTTTATTTTTTTACTTGAAATTGTTTGTTTTATTTTTGCCAGTAGTAGCGCATATGGTTTGAAATTATCCATGTAGAACGTTCTTTATACGCTTAATGAAAAAAAACACATGTCTTCTCTGTAAACATAAAGTTGTTATGCGTTGTTATGTAGTAAAAACACTATTATTTTTCTATTTATCAACATTTATTTATCAACTGTACATTATATTGTGATTTTCTTTTCTCTTTCTCTCTCACAATTGTATTTGATTGTGTTCGTCGTATGTACTGGTACTATGTTCCGTATATTTTTTTCGTTGTTTTATTGGATATTATGTTTGAATTGAAACATATTTAAATACATATAGAACAAGACATAAGTTAGTCAAACTTTCAAAAATGGATTAAGGGAGATATCAGTTGGGTATAAAAAATGATTCTGGGTCTTAGACAATCTTTCTTTAACTTAAACAATTATTTAGAATAAAGAAAAACGTTGGTGCATCGTCATCTAGGATGTTGAAATAAAATCAGTATTCTCATTTTACATCTAATTGTGTGTGAACTCAATCTTTTCATTCTTCTCCATATGTATATATAATCTACAACAATATTATTCTTTTTTCTTAAGATTTTTGTCAACGTCTACATGTTTTGTTTTCACATTAGATAGTTTTAATTCGTTTCATTTGTTTTCGGTAATTCGATTTGTGTGCGCAATATAATCGTATTATACTATAAAAAGAGAGAAGAAGAAGATAGTTGTTGTATTGTTAAGACGCGCTTTGACGCCTTATAGTCTATATATAAATGTAAGCCGCTAATCGTTGAAATGCATCATTAGAAAAATAGTCTTATGATCGATGATACACATCGGATTGAACAATAAATACATACTGTGTTTGTGTGAGCATCTCACATGAGTTAGTTTAATTACCATTTTCTTGAAGAGAAAATAGTAGAGACATTGGAATTATACACTATTCAATGTTGTCAAGAATGAATTTTGTGTTTTAACAGTAGAAAGAAAAAGTTTTATTTTCGGTTTTTATTTAGTTTATTATTTCGGTTATATTTCGAAAAAAGGTTTGTTGATTCCTTATTAATCTGAATATCTGAAGTATGATAAGTGAGTGGAATGTACAAACTTTATCATGATGAACATGGAATATGTGTTGAATAGGTCAGTAACATCAAAGGTCAAGTCTGCCTGTAAACAAAGTTTAAATGGTATTCGTTTCTTATAAATAGAGAAACAACAGATTTTATCGATATATCTGATCATTGTCGTTTCGTTTTTTTCCACTATTATTGCAGCTTGAAGTTAAAGAATTTTTTTCGTTGAATGATTGTATACACAAGTATTTCCGCTATACTAATATTATCTGATCTTTTTGTATCCAATATCATTATTTGAACAAAATAGAAAACTATCATTCGTGTCCAAAAATGGATTTTCAAAGAAATTATCTAGTGAAATGGTATCAATCTGTTTACAATTAATGAACATATCTAAATCATAATAAGTTGTCATTAATCGTTATAAACAACTAATTTCGAGATATTCATAAACACAATTAGAATGGCACTTATTAAAACAGAGAAAAAGATGAAATATAATGAATACATTGTATAAAGCAAACGTTTTATTGATCCACTAGAAAGACACATAGAGATAATAGATAAAATGTATAAAATCTTGCGAATATCTGATAAGTATAGAAATGAATAGAAATTCATTTTAGGAATAAAAGTTCTTTAGAATAATACGCACAATTAGAGTTCACAGAGTCTTATTTCTGTTTAAGCGATAACTCGACTTCTCTATGTCAGCCGCTAATAATGTTCAATTTAATATTTTCTAATCTAGAATTTAGTCAATCTATGCATGTTATGTGTTATCATTTAAATCAGATCATCAAAGTCAATTGCAATTAGTTAACTTTGAAATAGATCTTGGCCAACTTAAGAATCAGTAACCTATAGTTTTATCAAACTTTAAACATATTATAGACGTCGAAGTGTTTCATTTTGATGATAAAATTCCTTTTTAAACATTTATAAATGAAACAAATTTACAGATAATGGGATTGATACGTATCAAATATATAAAATACTTGAGAAAAAGTTGTTGATGAACATAAATAAGAAGAAAACATGGTCAAACGTGACGTGAACATAAAATTATTAAATCTCATCATTTGTAGAAACACATGCATAATTTTTCAACGAATCGATTAATCGAGAATGTACAATCAGTCAGTTTCATATAAAATTGGTTAGAATACACGAAAAAGAGATTTTGAATTTGTCTTTCAACTTGCGTATTGATATTTTCAATAAAAAATTTCTTCATCGATTATGTATGTACTTAAAATTAGTGTCATGCAACAGGAAAAGAACGAAAAACACCTTTTATTACAACATTTGAATAATACATTCTTCTTTATTTTATTCATAGAAATTATTTTTAAAATAATCAGATTTTATTCGATAAATGGGAAAATCTTTTTTTTATTGATATTGACACGCAAAATCTTTAATCTCTCATCCACACACTCATAAAAATTATTGACATGCTTCCTATTATGATGAGTATAGTGTAATTAGATTATTATTCAACAATATTTTTTTCAACAATTTTTAGGGAAAAGGAAAAAACAAAACGACATCAAATCATTTATTTAATTATTGGAAATTTTTTCAATGCTATTTTCAATTTTAAAAAAACGTTTATAATATGTAACGTGACATTTTTCATATTAATTAGTTATTATACTTTTTATTGAAGTGTAATGGTCTAAATGTATATCGGAAATGAACGTAAGATGGAAAAGAAAAGAATGTTTATCAAATAATTACATGTTACTGTTATCTTTAGATTTAATACAAAACAAAAGAAAAATTGAATCGAATACTATTAGATCATCTTTTATTTTCATTCAGTTGAATAACGTTTACATTGGACTCTACATAAGATCAAAATCATCACTATATTTCTTATAAACTTGCTAATAAACTCATGCTGATCAATGTATACGTATACAGATCCTCTGTTTATCGATAAACAAGTTGTCACTTTTTAGGGTTTTTTTATACTAAAAAAATTCTACACATCTCTCTGCTTTTTTTTTCTCTCGGCACGATACTGCTTGCTAATATATTTACAAAATATGATAAACGATTTTGATGTCGTCATTTCTTATTAGAAATTTAAATCATATCCAAAATAGTGAGAAGGAATAGAGTCTAAAATATCGAACGAGAAATTCAATCATAAGTTCATTAAATAATGTTCAATAACATGTCAAAACGGTTTCCTTTGAAAAAGAGCAAATAAATCTAAAGCTTGTAAATAAACGTAAACAAATTTGGGAAGATTATACACTTGAAATTCAATTTTATGTCTATATCCTCTTGACATATACATAGGTGTGTGTTTCTTAGCTGGTAGCACTTCAATTTATATTTCAAAATTCACAGTACGCATGGCAATTGTTCTAATAATTACGTTTTCCACTTCTAAAAGCAAATTGCACATACTATTTTATATTGTAAAATGACTTTCAACATACTCGAAAGTGAATCTTTTTCAAATATTTATGATAATTGTAGAACGAAAACAATATGTACGAATTAAGTTCTAGGCGTGTTACTGCGTCACAAGTCAGAAAAAACTTTATCAGAAAAATTCTAAAAAGTCTTTACATTGATAAAATAAGTGAGTAATTTTTGGTAAATTCAAATAAGTCTGAGAGAATAGGATCTAACAGTCTGATTTTGTCCCGACGAATATTTCACATTTCGAACCTTTCTAATCAATATCTTTACTCAACTTGAAATCGTTTAATCGAAAGAACGTTCTCTCCCTCTTTCTCTCTCTCTCTCTCTCTCTCTCTCTCTTTCTGTCTGTCTCTCTACGTATATTGATTGAATGTGATCTGTCAAACCTTATGAAGTTCAAAGTATAAGGTGAAAAGAAGAGTATGTAATGAAATGATTGAATTCACATTTTGTTAAGATTTGTTTAAATACATTTATTAAAACCGCGAATGAGTATAGATAACACATGCAGAGTGGTTGAAAAAGAGAAATGTTGAAAAATGATCAAATGAAGTTAATAAAGAACACGATTTTTCAAAAAGACGCTATCAGTTCGTTGAATTGATACAATTAATAATGAAAAAAAGCAACTTATATTATATAATACTTGATAAATCGTTTCTTTTGTCTCTTAAACGAATACACTCAACAGAATATGTTATTAAATTAGTTTTCGATTGTGTCATCGTTATATACAAAATTGTTCATCCGAGAAGGCAACTTTTCGAATATCAAATCCCGTTTAACGGATGTTTCAGTCAAACATGTGAATGACCTCCTACAAAATGTGAAAATAGTGCGTTGTATGAAAAACTTTGAAAAACTTCAATCAAAAATTCAAAATCAGTAGCTCTTTTTTAAGTATTAAATTACTCAAACAGGTATCAAGATGTCTCAGACTAAGGTTTCTGATGCCATGAAATATGCTTCGATGTCATTCAAACTAGTTTTACAATACAAAGGATAGCTTTATTGAAATTAACTGGATAACAAAAATTTAGATTTTTCCATTTATCGTATAAAGAAGTTCTTGAACTTCGGTGCAGACATATCATTTCACGTTAAAATAACAAGATACCAATCTCAAAGATTTT